AAATCTGCGAACCTGTTCCTGGGGTCGGAGATTGGATCACCGTTTTTTTCCCCTAATGATGGTAATAGGTGTGGCGCTGCAGGTTACTTTTTTGATGGAGTTAAATAGAGATTTGTGATCACGGGCCACTGAGGCAGACTCCATCTCCTCAGCAACCCGCAACCACCACCCATCCTTGCAGCGCCTCACGGCTCTCCGAACCTCCGAGCGAAGGCTGCGGTAAGCCTCCTCATTTTCTGACGTGGGATTCTGTAGCCGATGACAGTGGGCCTGTCGCTTTTTCTCAACCATCCTGAACACCTCCTCTGTCAGCCAGGGTCTCTGGGGAGGTCTGGACCGCGTACCCAAAGCAGCCATTGCAGCTGCATGAGTCACAGTCCTAAACCTCGCCCATTTACCCTCGACATCAGGAGGAGTCGGGGACGATGCCAATCCCAGCCGCAAGCGATGATGAAATTCTCGCTTGCAATTTTCATCAGATAACTGAGACCAGGCCACTTTATGTTGGAATGGGGTCCTGGGTGTACACCCACCACCGGAGTGGAAGAAAGGCAGGCGCATCTTACAGATGACTAGTCGATGGTCAGAGGGCAGATCAGCTCCACGGTAGGTCCTGGTGTCAAGGACATGGGCTCGCATTCGCTGGTCCGTCACTATGTAGTCCAGCAGATGTTCTTGCTTGGACCTGGCATGCATCCATGATGTTGTGTGGATGCGCCGATGCCGGAACAGCGTGTTGGTAATTACAAGCCCATGGGCTGCACAAAAATCTAGCAGCCTCCTACCGTTGTTATTGAGCTGATCTGGCCCATGCCCTCCAATCACTCCAGACCAGGTGCCAGTATCATGACCAACTCGGGCATTGAAGTCACCCAACATGATGACTCTATCCCGAGGGGCCACTTTAGCCAGCACCTGTGACAGGAGGTCATAGAAGGCATCTGACTCATCGGCTTTGCCTGCATCCCTCCACGGATGTTCATCTTCGGTGGGGGCATAAGTAACCACGACCACCATTCCTCGCCTCCGGTTGATGGGAAGGCGAGCCCAAAGTAGCCTGGGGCTTACAGCTTACCACACCTCACCGCCACGCTCCCACGCCCCCTTCATTCTTTTGTTCAAAAGAAGACCCACACCCTGTTGTTTGGCAGTCTGCTGCCCCGAGTAGAGGACGGTCCATCCCTCATGGTGGCAGGAGCCAGAGCCGGTCCACCGGACCTCCTGAATGCCACAGAGATCCAAGCGGTACCGGTCCAGCTCCCGACAGAGGAGTGGCAGCCTCTCCTCTGCAGTGAGCGTTCGAACATTCCACGTGGCCACCCGTAGTGGCTTTTCGTTGTTTCTGGAGTAGCCCCGAGGGTAGGTATTCAATCTCCTGGCTCCGCCAATTGGGGTTTGGCCAGGAGACGTCATAGACGCCTGGCCCCCCGGGGCCTCCGGCACAAGCTTATTAGTTACATATTTCAGTTCATATAGACACACACACAGACACACACACAGACACACACAGAGTGAGTAGGTGAGTGGGTGAGTGAGTGGGTGAGTGAGTGGGTGAGTGAGTGGGTGAGTGAGTGGGTGAGTCAGTGGGTGAGTGAGTGAGTGGGTGAGTGAATGGGTGAGTGAGTAGGTGAGTGGGTGAGTGAGTGGGTGAGTGAGTGAGTGAGTGGGTGAGTGAGTGAGTGAGTGAGTGTGTGGGTGAGTGAGTGAGTGGGTGAGTGAATGGGTGAGTGGGTGAGTGAATGGGTGAGTGGGTGAGTGACTGGGTGAGTGAGTGAGTGGGTGAGTGAGTGAGTTGGTGAGTGAGTTGGTGAGTAAGTAGGTGAGTTGGTGAGTGAGTGGTTAGTGAGTTGGTGAGTGAGTTGGTGAGTGAGTGGAGAGTGAGTTGGTGAGTGAGTGGTGAGTGAGTTGGTGAGTGAGTGGTGAGTGAATGAGTTGGTGATTGAGTTGGTGAGTGAGTGGTGAGTGAGTGGAGAGTGTGTGGTGAGTGAGTGGTGAGTGAGTGGGTGAGATAGTTGGTGAGTGAGTTGGTGAGTGAGTGGTGAGTGATTTGGTGAGTGAGTGGTGAGTGAGTTGGTGAGTGAGTGGGTGAGTGAGTGGTGAGTAAGTGGTGAGTGAGTGAGTGAGTGGTGAGTGAGTGAGTGGGTGAGTGAGTGTTGAGTAAGTGGTGAGTGAGTTGGTGAGTGAGTGGTGAGTAAGTGGTGAGTGAGAGGTGAGTGAGTGGTGAGTGAGTTGGTGAGTGAGTTGGTGAGTAAGTGGTGAGTGAGTGGTGAGTGAGTGGTGAGTGAGTTGGTGAGTGAGTGGTGAGTGAGTGGTGAGTGAGTGGTGAGTGAGTGAGTGGGTGAGTGAGTGAGTGGTGAGTGAGTGAGTGAGTGGTGAGTAAGTGGTGAGTGAGTGGTGAGTAAGTGGTGAGTGAGTGGTGAGTGAGAGGTACCTCACCATTTCACTGTACCCAGTCATAGTAAAGGTTTTGCCTGAGCCTGTCTGGCCAAAGGCAAACACTGTACACGCCAGCCTGGAACACAGAGTCGACCAATCAGAGTCCACCACTCAGAGTCCACCAGTCAGAGTCCACCAATCAAAGTCCACCACTCAGAGTCCACCACTCAGAGTCCACTACTCAGAGTCTACCAATCAGAGTCCACCAATCAGAGTCCACCACTCAGAGTCTACCAATCAGAGTCCACCAAGCAGAGTCCACCACTCAGAGTCTACCACTCAGAGTCTACCACTCAAAGTCCACCACTCAGAGTCTACCAATCAGAGTCTACCACTCAGAGTCTACCAATCAGAGTCCACCACTCAGAGTCGACCACTCAGTGTCCACCACTCAGAGTCCACCACTCAGTGTCCACCACTCAGTGTCCACCACTCAGTCCACCACTACTACACAGTGAGTGAGTGGTAGTGGTGAGTGGTAGTGGTGAGTGGTAGTGATGGTGGTGAGTGGTAGTAGTAGTGGTGAGTGTAGTAGTGAGTGTTGTAGTGAGTGTAGTAGTGAGTGTAGTGGTGAGTGTAGTAGTGGTGGTGAGTAGTGAGTGTAGTAGTGGTGAGTGTAGTAGTGAGTGTAGTACTAGTGGTGAGTATAGTAGTGGTGAGTGTAGTAGTGGTAGTGGTGAGTGTAGTAGTAGTGGTGAGTGTAGTAGTGGTGAGTATAGTAGTGGTAGTGGTGAGTGTAGTAGTAGTGGTGAGTAGTGGTGAGTGGTGAGTGTAGTAGTGGTGAGTGTAGTAGTGGTGAGTGTAGTAGTGGTGAGTGTAGAAGTGAGTGTAGTGGTGAGTGTAGTAGTGGTGAGTGTAGTGGTGAGTGGTAGTGGTGGTGGTCAGTGTAGTGGTGAGTGTAGTAGTGGTGAGTAGTAGTGGTGAGTGGTGAGTGGTAGTGGTGAGTGGTGAGTGGTAGTGGTGAGTGGTAATGGTGGGTGGTAATGGTGAGTGGTAATGGTGAGTGGTAGTGGTGAGTAGTGGTGAGTGTAGTGGTGGTGGTGAGTGGTGGTGGTTAGTGGTAGTGGTGAGGGTAGTTGAGAGTGTAGTGGTGAGTGTAGTAGTGGTGAGTGGTGAGTAGTAGTAGTGGTGGTGAGTGTAGTAGTGGTGAGTGTAGTAGTGGTGAGTGGTGAGTGTAGTAGTGGTGAGTGTAGTAGTAGTAGTGGTGAGTGTAGTAGTGGTGAGTGTAGTAGTGGTGAGTGTAGTGGTGAGTATAGTAGTGGTGAGTGTAGTAGTAGTAGTGGTGAGTGTAGTAGTGGTGAGTAGTGGTGAGTAGTGGTGAGTATAGTAGTGGTGAGTGTAGTGGTGAGTGTAGTAGTAGTAGTGGTTAGTGTAGTAGTAGTGAGTAGTGGTGAGTGTAGTAGTGGTGAGTGTAGTAGTGGTGAGTGTAGTAGTGGTGAGTAGTGGTGAGTGTAGAAGTGGTGAGTGTAGTAGTGGTGAGTAGTGGTGAGTAGTGGTGAGTGTAGTAGTGGTGAGTGTAGTAGTGGTGGGTGTAGTAGTGGTGAGTGTAGTAGTGGTGAGTGTAGTAGTGAGTGTAGTGGTGAGTGTAGTAGTAGTGGTGAGTAATGGTGAGTGTACTAGTAGTGAGTGTAGTAGTGGTGAGTGTAGTGGTGGTGAGTGTAGTAGTGGTGAGTGTAGTGGTGAGTGTAGTAGTATTAGTGGTGAGTAGTGGTGAGTGTAGTAGTAGTGGTGAGTAGTGGTGAGTGTACTAGTAGTGAGTGTAGTAGTGGTGAGTGTAGTGGTGGTGAGTGTACTAGTGGTGAGTAGTTGTGAGTGTAGTAGTGGTGAGTGTACTAGTAGTGAGTGTAGTGGTGAGTGTAGTAGTGGTAGTAGTGAGTGTAGTAGTGGTGAGTAGTGGTGAGTAGTGGTGAGTGTAGTGGTGAGTGTAGTAGTATTAGTGGTAGTGGTGAGTGTAGTAGTGGTGACTAGTGGTGAGTAGTGGTGAGTAGTGGTGAGTGTAGTAGTGGTGAGTGTAGTGGTGAGTGTAGTAGTAGTGGTGAGTAGTGGTGAGTAGTGGTGAGTGTAGTCGTGGTAGTAGTGGTGAGTAGTTGTGAGTGTAGTAGTGGTGAGTGTAGTAGTGGTGAGTGTAGTAGTGAGTGTAGTGGTGAGTGTAGTAGTAGTGGTGAGTAGTGGTGAGTGTAGTATTGGTGAGTGTAGTAGTGGTGAGTGTAGTAGTGAGTGTAGTGGTGAGTGTAGTAGTAGTGGTGAGTAGTGGTGAGTGTACTAGTAGTGGTGAGTAGTGGTGAGTGTAGTAGTGGTGAGTGTAGTAGTGGTGAGTGTAGTAGTGGTGAGTGTACTAGTAGTGAGTGTAGTAGTGGTGAGTAGTGGTGAGTGTAGTATTAGTGGTAGTTGTGAGTGTAGTAGTGTTGAGTAGTGGTGAGTAGTGGTGAGTAGTGGTGAGTGTAGTAGTATTAGTGGTAGTGGTGAGTAGTGGTGAGTAGTGGTGAGTAGTGGTGAGTGTAGTAGTATTAGTGGTAGTGGTGAGTAGTGGTGAGTAGTGGTGAGTAGTGGTGAGTGTTACTCACCCGGTGAGGGTGAGCGGCAGCAGCGAGCTGAGTCCACAGCTGTCATAGACTTGCTGCTGGCAGTGACGCGGGGAGAGCGCCGCAGAGAAGCGGAACTGACGTTTCAGACCCTCACCCTGCGGCAGGAGCACCTGGGGGTGGGGGTGGTGAGTGGTGGTGAGTGGTGGAGGTGAGTGGTAGTGGTGAGTCGTAGTGGTCAGTAGTGGTGAGTAGTGGTGAGTAGTGGTGGAGGTGAGTGGTAGTGGTGAGTGGTGGTAGTGGTGGTGGTGGTGAGTGGTGGTGAGTGGTGGTGAGTGGTTGTGGTAGTAGTGAACAGTAGTGGTGAGTAGTGGTGAGTAGTAGTGGTGAGTAGTGGTGAGTGGTAGTGGTGAGTAGTGGTGAGTAGTGGTGAGTGGTAGTGGTGAGTAGTGGTGAGTAGTGGTGGTGGTAGTGGTGGTAGTGGTGGTAGTGGTGAGTAGTGGTGAGTAGTGGTGGTAGTGGTGAGTAGTGGTGAGTGGTGGAGGTGAGTGGTGGAGGTGAGTGGTAGTGGTGAGTGGTGAGTGGTGAGTAGTGGTGAGTTGTGGTGGGTGATACTGGTGAGTAGTGGTGAGTAGTGGTAGTGGTGAGCAGTGGTGGTAGTGGTGAGTAGTGGTGAGTGGTGGTGAGTGATAGTGCTAGTGGTGAGTAGTAGTGGTGAGAAGTGGTGAGTAGTGGTGAGTAGTGGTGGTAGTGGTGAGTAGTGGTGAGTGGTAGTGGTAGTGGTGAGTAGTGGTGAGTAGTGGTGATTAGTAGTGAGTAGTAGTGGTGAGTAGTACTGAAGAGTAGTAGTGGTGAGTAGTGGTGAGTAGTGGTGAGTAGTGGCGAGTGGTGGTGAGTAGTAGTGGTAGTGGTGAGTAGTAGTGGTGAGTAGTGGTGAGTGGTAGTGGTAGTGGAAGTGGTTAGTGGTAGTGGTGAGTAGTGGTGAGTAGTAGTGGTGAGTAGTGGTGAGTGGCAGTGGTGAGTAGTGGTGAGTAGTGGTGAGTGGTAGAGAGTAGTAGTGGTAGTGGTGAGTAGTGGTGAGTGGTGGTAGTGGTGAGTAGTGGTGGTAGTGGTGAGTGTTAGTGGTGAGTGTGAGTGGTAGTGGTGAGTGTTAGTGGTAGTGGTAGTGGTGACTAGTGGTGAGTAGTGGTTAGTGTTAGTGGTGAGTAGTAGTAGTGGTGAGTAGTGGTGAGTAGTGGTGAGTGGTGGTGGTGAGTAGTGGTGAGTAGTAGTATAGGTGTGTGGTGGTGGTGTGTAGTGGTGATGAGTAGTGGTGAGTGTTAGTGGTGAGTAGTGGTGAGTAGTGGTGAGTAGTGGTGAGTATTAGTGGTGAGTAGTGGTGAGTGTTAGTGGTGAGTAGTGGTGAGTGTTAGTGGTGAGTAGTGGTGAGTAGTGGTGAGTGTTAGTGGTGAGTAGTGGTGAGTAGTGGTGAGTGTTAGTGGTGAGTAGTGGTGAGTGTTAGTGGTGAGTAGTGGTGAGTGTTAGTGGTGAGTGTTAGTGGTGAGTAGTGGTGAGTGGTGAGTGTTAGTGGTGAGTAGTGGTGAGTGTTAGTGGTGAGTAGTGGTGAGTGGTGAGTGTTAGTGGTGAGTAGTGGTGAGTGTTAGTGGTGAGTAGTGTTAGTGGTGAGTAGTGGTGAGTGTTAGTGGTGAGTAGTGGTGAGTGGTGAGTGTTAGTGGTGAGTAGTGGTGAGTAGTGGTGAGTAGTGGTGAGTGTTAGTGTTGAGTAGTGGTGAGTGTTAGTGGTGAGTAGTGGTGAGTAGTGGTGAGTAGTGTTAGTGGTGAGTAGTGGTGAGTGTTAGTGGTGAGTAGTGTTAGTGGTGAGTAGTGGTGAGTGTTAGTGGTGAGTAGTGGTGAGTGGTGAGTGTTAGTGGTGAGTAGTGGTGAGTAGTGGTGAGTAGTGGTGAGTGGTGAGTGTTAGTGGTGAGTAGTGGTGAGTGTTAGTGGTGAGTAGTGGTGAGTGTTAGTGGTGAGTAGTGGTGAGTGTTAGTGGTGAGTAGTGGTGAGTGTTAGTGGTGAGTAGTGGTGAGTAGTGGTGAGTGGTGAGTGTTAGTGGTGAGTAGTGGTGAGTGTTAGTGGTGAGTAGTGGTGAGTAGTGGTGAGTGGTGAGTGTTAGTGGTGAGTAGTGTTGAGTGTTAGTGGTGAGTAGTGGTGAGTGTTAGTGTTGAGTAGTGGTGAGTGTTGGTGGTGAGTAGTGGTGAGTAGTGGTGAGTGGTGAGTGTTAGTGGTGAGTAGTGGTGAGTGTTAGTGGTGAGTAGTGGTGAGTGTTAGTGGTGAGTAGTGGTGAGTAGTGGTGAGTGGTGAGTGTTAGTGGTGAGTAGTGGTGAGTGTTAGTGGTGAGTGTTAGTGTTTAGTAGTTCCTCACCGAGACCTCACCACCGTCGTGAGCCACCACCACTTCTCTGTCGCCTCGCTGCTGCTCCCTCTGGCTCAGAGGACGCACCCTAAAGCAAAGGTACAGACAAAGCTCCCCCAGGTAGCCTCTAGCAGGGCTGTAGGGGCAAGTGCTGCTAGTAGCGAGTAGCACCACCTATGATGTACACACAGACAAAGCTCCCCCAGGTAGCCTCTAGCAGGGCTGTAGGGGCAAGTGCTGTGAGTAACGCAAGCCACTAACACTCTCTAACACTCTCTATCACTCTCTATCACTCTCTATCACTCTCTATCACTCTCTAACACTCTCTATCACTCTCTAACACTCTCTATCACTCTCTAACACTCTCTAACACTCTCTAACACTCTCACACACTCTAACACACTCTAACACACTCTCTATCACTCTCTATCACTCTCTAACACTCTCTATCACTCTCTATCACTCTCTAACACTCTAACACTCTCTATCACTCTCTAACACTCTCTAACACCCTATAACACTCTCTAACACTCTCACACACTCTCACACACTCTCACACACTCTCTATCACTCTCTATCACTCTCTATCACTCCCTAACACTCTCACACACTCTCACACACTCTCTATCACTCTCGATCACTCCCTAACACTCTCACACACTCTCACACACTCTCTAACACTCTCTATCACTCTCTATCACTCCCTAACACTCTCACACACTCTCACACACTCTCACACACTCTCTAACACTCTCTATCACTCTCTATCACTCCCTAACACTCTCACACACTCTCACACACTCTCTATCACTCTCTATCACTCTCTATCACTCTCTAACACTCTCACACACTCTCACACACTCTCTATCACTCTCTATCACTCTCTATCACTCTAACACTCTCTATCACTCTCTAACACTCTCTAACACTCTCTATCACTCTCTATCACTCTAACACTCTCTATCACTCTCTATCACTCCCTAACACTCTCACACACTCTCACACACTCTCTAACACTCTCTATCACTCTCTATCACTCCCTAACACTCTCACACACTCTCACACACTCTCTAACACTCTCTATCACTCTCTATCACTCCCTAACACTCTCACACACTCTCTATCACTCTCTATCACTCTCTATCACTCTCTAACACTCTCACACACTCTCACACACTCTCACACACTCTCTATCACTCTCTAACACTCTCTAACACTCTCTATCACTCTCTATCACTCTAACACTCTCTATCACTCTCTATCACTCCCTAACACTCTCACACACTCACACACACTCTCTATCACTCTCTAACACTCTCTAACACTCTCACACACTCTAACACACTCTCTATCACTCTCTATCACTCTAACACTCTCTATCACTCTCTAACACTCTCTAACACTCTCTATCACTCTCTAACACTCTCTATCACTCTCTATCACTCTCTAACACTCTCTATCACTCTCTATCACTCTCTAACACTCTAACACTCTCTATCACTCTCTATCACTCTCTCACTCTCTATCACTCTCTATCACACACTAACACTCTCTAACACTCTCTCACACTCTCTAACACTTTCTAACACTCTCTAACACTCTCTATCACTCTCTAACACTCTCTATCACTCTCTATCACTCTCTATCACTCTAACACTCTCTATCACTCTCTAACACTTTCTAACACTCTCTATCACTCTCTAACACTCTCTGACACTCTCTATCACTCTCTATCACTCTCTAACACTCTCTATCACTCTCTAACACTCTCTGACACTCTCACACACTCTCTATCACTCTCTATCACTCTCACACACTCTCACTAACACTCTCTAACACTCTCTAACACTCTCTATCACTCTCTAACACTCTCTAACACTCTCTATCACTCTCTCACTCTCTAACACTCTCTATCACTCTCTATCACTCTCTAACACTCTCTAACACTCTCTATCACTCTCTATCACTCTCTAACACTCTCTATCACTCTCTATCACTCTCTAACACTCTCTAACACTCTCTAACACTCTCGAACACTCTCTATCACTCTCTAACACTCTCTATCACTCACTAACACTCTCTCACACACTCTATCACTCTCTAACACTCTCTAACACTCTCTAACACTCTCTAACACTCTATCACTCTCTCACACTCTAACACTCTCTATCACTCTCTAACACTCTAACACTCTTTATCACTCTCTAACACTCTCTATCACTCTCTAACACTCTCTAACACTCTCTAACACTCTATCACTCTCTAACACTCTCTATCACTCTCTAACACTCTCTATCACTCTCTAACACTGTGTGTGCGTCTGTGTGTGTGACTGTGTGTGTGTGTCTCTGTGTGTGTGTCTCTGTGTGTGTGGTCTGTGTGTTAGGGGGAGTGGTAGTGTAGTAGCGGTTAGCGCTACGCTGCGCTATGAACCTGGCGACCCGGGTTCGATTCCCGCTCACGGCCAACACCAGTGACGATTATCTGAACCGGTCCCGGGCCTCCCCTAGGTCGACTCAGCCTCAAATGAGTACCTGGTGCGGTGTGTAAACATCGCCACTGGGGAGACAAAGGCGGTCGGGCGTGATGCTGGCCACCCACCCCTTCGTGCACCGTTCTGACCTTCATAGGTGCTCGCTAACAGCACTTGCCCCTACAGTCTGTCAAGGCTATACGGGGGATCTTTGTCATCTTTGTGGTCTCCTCTTGTGAACTTAATGAGCCGCTCAGAGCCTCTCAGAGCCACGAATCTCCAGTGGAGACACACAGGGCGGGAACTCCGTGTGGTGGTGGTGAGTCTGTGGGTCTCTGTGTGGTGGTGAGTCTGTGGGTCTCTGTGTGATGGTGGTGAGTCTGTGGGTCTCTGTGTGGTGGTGGTGAGTCTGTGGGTCTCTGTGTGGTGGTGGTGAGTCTGTGGGTCTCTGTGTGGTGGTGAGTATGTGGGTCTGTGTGGTGGTGAGTCTATGGGTCTCTGTGTGGTGGTGGTGAGTCTATGGGTCTCTGTGTGGTGGTGGTGAGTCTGTGGGTCTCTGTGTGGTGGTGAGTCTGTGGGTCTCTGTGTGGTGGTGGTGAGTCTGTGGGTCTCTGTGTGGTGGTGGTGAGTCTGTGGGTCTCTGTGTGGTGGTGGTGAGTCTATGGGTCTCTGTGTGGTGGTGGTGAGTCTGTGGGTCTCTGTGTGGTGGTGGTGAGTCTATGGGTCTCTGTGTGGTGGTGAGTCTATGGGTCTCTGTGTGGTGGTGGTGAGTCTGTGGGTCTCTGTGTGGTGGTGGTGAGTCTATGGGTCTCTGTGTGGTGGTGGTGAGTCTGTGGGTCTCTGTGTGGTGGTGGTGAGTCTATGGGTCTCTGTGTGGTGGTGGTGAGTCTGTGGGTCTCTGTGGTGGTGGTGAGTCTATGGGTCTCTGTGTGGTGGTGGTGAGTCTATGGGTCTCTGTGTGGTGGTGAGTCTGTGGGTCTCTGTGGTGGTGGTGAGTCTATGGGTCTCTGTGTGGTGGTGGTGAGTCTGTGGGTCTCTGTGTGGTGGTGGTGAGTCTGTGAGTCTCTGTGTGGTGGTGAGTCTATGGGTCTCTGTGTGGTGGTGAGTCTGTGGGTCTCTGTGTGGTGGTGAGTCTGTGGGTCTCTGTGTGGTGGTGGTGAGTCTGTGGGTCTCTGTGTGGTGGTGAGTCTGTGGGTCTCTGTGTGATGGTGGTGAGTCTGTGGGTCTCTGTGTGGTGGTGGTGAGTCTGTGGGTCTCTGTGTGGTGGTGGTGAGTCTGTGGGTCTCTGTGTGGTGGTGAGTATGTGGGTCTGTGTGGTGGTGAGTCTATGGGTCTCTGTGTGGTGGTGGTGAGTCTATGGGTCTCTGTGTGGTGGTGGTGAGTGTATGGGTCTCTGTGTGGTGGTGGTGGTGAGTCTGTGGGTCTCTGTGTGGTGATGAGTCTGTGGGTCTCTGTGTGGTGGTGAGTCTGTGGGTCTCTGTGTGGTGGTGGTGAGTCTATGGGTCTCTGTGTGGTGGTAGTGAGTCTATGGGTCTCTGTGTGGTGATGAGTCTGTGGGTCTCTGTGTGGTGGTGAGTCTGTGGGTCTCTGTGTGGTGGTGGTGAGTCTGTGGGTCTCTGTGTGGTGGTGGTGAGTCTGTGGGTCTCTGTGTGGTGGTGAGTCTGTGGGTCTCTGTGTGGTGGTGAGTCTGTGGGTCTCTGTGTGGTGGTGAGTCTGTGGGTCTCTGTGTGGTGGTGAGTCTGTGGGTCTCTGTGTGGTGGTGAGTCTGTGGGTCTCTGTGTGGTGGTGAGTCTATGGGTCTCTGTGTGGTGGTGAGTCTGTGGGTCTCTGTCTGGTGGTAGTGAGTCTGTGGGTATCTGTGTGAGTGATGAATCTATGGGTCTCTGTGTGAGTGATGATGAGTCTATGGGTCTCTGTGTGATGAGGTGGGTGGGGGGGCATAGACACATACCGTACAACAACGGTGACCTTTTCCCACTGCATCTCGTCCAGGCTCCAATCCTGAAACGTCGCATAGACAGAGAGGTAGTTAACATCTCATAGTCACCGTGATGCTGAGAGACACCGACCTCCTGTGTACCAGGCGAGGTAGTTACCATCTCATAGCCACCGTGATGATGATGATGAGAGAGAGATACAGACCTCCTGAATACCAGGCGAGGTAGTTAACATCTCATAGCCACCGTGATGATGATGATGATGAGAGAGAGACACAGACCTCCTGTAGATCAGGCGAGGTAGTAAACATCTCATAACCACCGTGATGATGATGAGCGACACAGACCTCCTGTAGACCAGGCGAGGTAGTTAACATCTCATAGCCACCGTGATGATGATGCTGAGAGAGAGATACAGACCTCCTGTGTACCAGGCGAGGTAGTTAACATCTCCTCGACACTGGGATGATGATGAGAGAGAGACACAGACCTCCTGTATACCAGGCGAGGAAGTTAACATCTCCTAGACACTGTGATGATGATGAGAGAGAAACACAGACCTCCTGTGTACCAGGCGAGGTAGTCAACATCTCATAGTCACTATGATGATGATGAGAGAGACACAGACCTCCTGTATACCAGGCGAGGTAGTTAACATCTCATAACCACCGTGGTGATGATGAGAGACACAGACATCCTGTAATCCAGGCGAGGTAGTCAACATCTCATAGACACCGTGATGATGATGAGAGACACAGACCTCCTGTGTACCAGGCGAGGTAGTTAACATCTCATAGCCACTGTGATGATGAGAGAGAGAGACACAGACCTCCTGTATACCAGGCGAGGTAGTCAACATCTCCTAGTCACCGGGATGCTGAGAGACACAGACCTCCTGTATACCAAGCGAGGTAGTTAACATCTCATAGCCACCGTGATGATGATGAGAGAGAGACACAGACCTCCTGTAGACCAGGCGAGGTAGTCAACATCTCATAGCCACCGTGATGATGATGAGAGAGAGACACAGACCTCCTGTACACCAGGCGAGGTAGTCAACATCTCATAGCCACCGTGATGATGATGTGAGAGAGACATAGACCTCCTGTATACCAGGCGAGGTAGTTAACATCTCATAGTCACTATGATGATGATGAGAGAGACAAAGACCTCCTGTATACCAGGCGAGGGAGTAAACATCTCATAGTCACCGTGATGATGATGAGAGAGAGACACAGACCTCCTGTAGAGCAGGCGAGGTGGTTAACATCTCATAGCCACCGTGATGATGATGATGATGAGAGAGACACACAGATCTCCTGTAGACCAGGCGAGGTAGTCAACATCTCATAGCCACCGTGATGATGATGAGAGAGAGATACAGACCTCCTGTATACCAGGCGAGGTAGTTAACATCTCACAGCCACCGTGATGATGATGATGATGAGAGAGAGATACAGACCTCCTGTAGACAGGCGAGGTAGTCAACATCTCATAGTCACCGTGGTGATGATGATGATAGACACAGACCTCCTGTAGACCAGGCGAGGTAGTTAACATCTCATCTCCACCGTGATGATGATGAGGGACACAGACCTCCTGTGTACCAGGCGAGGTAGTTAACATCTCATAGCCACTGTGATGATGATGATGAGAGAGAGACACATACCTCCTGTAAACCTGGCGAGGTAGTTAACATCTCCTAGTCACCGGGATGCTGAGAGACACAGACCTCCTGTATACCAGGCGAGGTAGTTAACATCTCATAGTCACCGTGATGATGATGATGATGAGAGAGAGACACAGACCTCCTGTAGACCAGGCGATCTAGTTAACATCTCATAGCCACCGTGATGACGATGATGAGAGAGAGACACAGACCTCCTGTGTACCAGGCGAGGTAGTTAACATCTCATAGCCACCGTGATGATGATGATGAGAGAGAGACACAGACCTCCTGTAAACATGGCGAGGTAGTTAACATCTCCTAGTCACCGGGATGCTGAGAGACACAGACCTCCTGTATACCAGGCGAGGTAGTTAACATCTCATAGCCACCGTGATGATGATGATGATGGTGAGAGACACCGACCTCCTGTGGACCAGGCGAGGTAGTCAACATCTCATAGCCACCGTGATGATGATGAGACACAGACTTCCTGTAGACCAGGCGAGGTAGTCAACATCTCATAGCCACCGTGATGATGATGAGAGAGAGAGACACAGACCTCCTGTGTACCAGGCGAGGTAGTTAACATCTCATAGTCACTGTGATGATGAGAGACACAGACCTCCTGTAGACCAGCGAGGTAGTCAACATCTCATAGCCACTGTGATGATAGAGAGACACAGACCTCCTGTAGACCAGGCAAGGTAGTTAACATCTCATAACCACCGTGATGATGATGATGAGAGAGACATAGACCTCCTGTAAACCTGGCGAGGTAGTTAACATCTCATAGCCACCGTGATGATGATGAGAGACGCAGACCTCCTGCAGACCAGGCGAGGTAGTTAACATCTCATAGCCACTGTGATGATGATGAGAGACACAGACCTCCTGCAGACCAGGCGAGGTAGTCAACATCTCATAGTCACTGTGATGCTGAGAGACACAGACCTCCTGTGTACCAGGCGAGGAAGTCAACATCTCCTAACCACCATGGTGATGATGAGAGAGAGACACAGACCTCCTGTAGACCAGGCGTGGTAGTTAACATCTCAGTCACCGTGATGATGATGATGATGAGAGACACAGACCTCCTGTAGACCTGGCGAGGTAGTCAACATCTCATAGCCACCGTGATGATGATGATGATGAGAGACACAGACCTCCTGTAGGCCAGGCGAGGTAGTCAACATCTCATAGCCACCGTGATGATGATGAGAAACACAGACCTCCTGTGTACCAGGCGAGGTAGTTAACATCTCATAACCACCGTGGTGATGATGATGAGAGAGAGACACAGACCTCCTGTAAACCAGGCGAGGTAATCAACATCTCCTAGTCACCGGGATGTTGAGAGACACAGACCTCCTGTAGACCAGGCGAGGTAGTTAACATCTCATTGCCACTGTGATGATGATGATGAGAGAGACACAGACCTCCTGTGTACCAGGCGAGATAGTCAACATCTCATAGCGACCGTGGTGATGATGATGAGAGACACAGACCTCCTGAAGACCAGGCGAGGTAGTTAACATCTCATAGACGCCGTGATGATGACGAGAGACACAGACCTCCTGTAGACCTGGCGAGGTAGTTAACATCTCATAGTCACCGTGATGATGATGATGATGAGAGAGAGACACAGTCCTCCTGTAGACCAGGCGAGGTAGTCAACATCTCATAGCCACTGTAATGATGATGATGAGAGACACAGACTTCCTGTAGACCAGGCGAAGTAGTTAGCATCTCATAGCCACTGTGATGATGATGAGAGAGAGACACAGACCTCCTGTAGACCAGGCGTGGTAGTTAACATCTCAGTCACCGTGATGATGATGATGAGAGACACAGACCTCCTGTAGACCTGGCGAGGTAGTCAACATCTCATAGCCACCGTGATGATGATGATGATGATGAGAGACACAGACCTCCTGTAGGCCTGGCGAGGTAGTCAACATCTCATAGCCACCGTGATGATGATGAGAAACACAGACCTCCTGTGTACCAGGCGAGGTAGTTAACATCTCATAACCACCGTGGTGATGATGATGAGAGAGAGACACAGACCTCCTGTAAACCAGGCGAGGTAATCAACATCTCCTAGTCACCGGGATGCTGAGAGACACAGACCTCCTGTAGACCAGGCGAGGTAGTTAACATCTCATTGCCACTGTGATGATGATGATGAGAGAGACACAGACCTCCTGTGTACCAGGCGAGATAGTCAACATCTCATAGCGACCGTGGTGATGATGATGAGAGACACAGACCTCATGTATACCTAGCGAGGTAGTTAACATCTCATAGCCACTGTGATGATGATGATGAGAGAGAGACACAGACCTCCTGAAGACCAGGCGAGGTAGTTAACATCTCATAGACGCCGTGATGATGACGAGAGACACAGACCTCCTGTAGACCTGGCGAGGTAGTTAACATCTCATAGTCACCGTGATGATGATGATGATGAGAGAGAGACACAGTCCTCCTGTAGACCAGGCGAGGTAGTCAACATCTCATAGCCACTGTAATGATGATGATGAGAGACACAGACTTCCTGTAGATCAGGCGAAGTAGTTAGCATCTCATAGCCACTGTGATGATGATGAGAGAGAGACACAGACCTCCTGTAGACCAGGCGAGGTAGTTAACATCTCATAGTCACCGTGATGATGATGATGAGAGAGAGACACAGACCTCCTGTATACCAGGCGATGTAGTCAACATCTCATAACCAACGCGGCACTCCAGAGAATGAGAGACGCTTCTGTCTGTCTGTGTGTGTGTCTGTGTGTATGTGTTTGTCTGTGTGTGTTTGTCTGTGTGTCTGTGTGTTTCTCTGTGTGTGTGTGTTTGTCTGTGTGTCTGTGTGTCTGTCTGTGTGTCTGTGTGTGTGTGTCTGTGTGTGTGTCTGTGTGTGTGTGTCTGTGTGTGTTTGTCTGTGTGTCTGTGTGTGTGCCTGTGTGTCTGTGTGTGTGTCTGTGTGTGTGTCTGTGTGTGTCTATGTGTGTGTGTGTCTATGTGTGTGTGTGCGTGTCTATGTGTGTGTGTCTATGTGTGTGTGTCTGTGTGTGTCTGTGTGTGTGTCTGTGTGTCTATCCTCACGTCTCCCTGGATCTCTGACCCCGTCTCTGTCTCTGTTTCCGTGTCTCTCTATCCCTTGTCTCTCTCTGTCTCTGACCTGTGTCTCTGTGTCTCTCTGTGTTTCTCTGTCCCCGTGTCTCTGTGTCTGTCTCTTTGTCTCCGTGTCTCTCTGTCCCTTGTCTCTCTCTGTCTCTGACCTGTGTCTCTCTGTCCCCGTGTGTCTCTGTGTCTCTCTGTCCCCGTGTGTCTCTGTGTCTCTCTGTGTCTCTCTGTCCCCGTGTGTCTCTGTGTCTCTCTGTGTCTCTCTGTCCCCGTGTGTCTCTGTGTCTCTCTGTCCCCGTGTGTCTCTGTGTCTCTCTGTCCCCGTGTGTCTCTGTGTCTCTCTGTCCCCGTGTGTCTCCGTGTCTCTCTGTCCCTTGTGTCTCTCTGTCCCTTGTGTCTCTCTGTCCCCGTGTGTCTCTGTGTCTCTCTGTCCCCGTGTGTCTCTTTGTTTCCGTGTCTCTGTGTCTCTCTGTCCTTTGTGTCTCTCTGTCCCCGTGTGTCTCTGTGTCTCTCTGTCCCCGTGTGTCTCTGTGTCTCTCTGTGTGTCTCCGTGTCTCTCTGTCCCCGTGTGTCTCTTTGTTTCCGTGTCTCTGTGTCTCTCTGTCCCCGCGTCTCCTCTGGTCTCACCTGGATGCCTCCAAAGCCCAGCCCAGCACAGCGCAGCACTTCACCTCCATCTCTATCCTCCCTCTCCCCCTCTCCCCCTCCCCCTCTCCACCTCTCCACCTCCATCTCACTCCTCCATCTCCCTCCCCCTCTCCACCTCTCCACCTCCATCTCTATCCTCCATCTCTCTCCTCCATCTCCCCCTCCCCCTCTCCACCTCCCCCTCTCCATCTCTCTCCTCCCCCTCTCCACCTCCATCTCTCCACCTCTCCACCTCTCTCCTCCATCTCCCCCTCTCCATCTCCTCCATCTCCCCCTCCCCCTCTCCATCTCCTCCATCTCCCCCTCCCCCTCTCCACCTCCATCTCCCCCTCCCCCTCTCCACCTCCATCTCCCCCTCCCCCTCTCCATCTCTCTCCTCGATCTCCCCCTCTCCCTCCTCCCTCTCTACCACCACTACCACCACCACTCCACCACCACCACTACCACCACCACTCCACCACCACCACTACCACCACCACTCCACCACCACCACTACCACCACCACTCCACCACCACCACTACCACCACCACTCCACCACCACCACTACCACCACCACTCCACCACCACCACCACCCCACCACCACCACCACCACCCCACCACCACCACCACCAACACCACCACCACCCCACCACCACCACCACTCCACCACCACCAACACCACCACCCCACCACCACCACCACCCCACCACCACCACCACCACCCCACCACCACCCCACCACCCCACCACCACCCCACCACCACCACCACCACCACCCCACCACCACCACCACCCCACCACCACCACCACCCCACCACCACCACCACCCCACCACCACCAACACCACCACCCCACCACCACCACTCCACCACCACCACCCCACCACCACCACCACCACTCCACCACCACCACCCCACCACCGACACACCCCCACCACCACCCCACCACCACCACCCCACCACCACCACCCCACCACCACCACCCCACCACCACCACCCCACCACCACCACCCCACCACCACCACCCCACCACCACCACCCCACCACCACCACCCCACCACCACCACCCCACCACCACCACCCCACCACCACCACCCCACCACCACGGCCGCGGCGATTTCACGTTCCAACACGCATCCCATTTATTATAACACATTCTTGACAAAATATTTCTCCCTACGTAACTTCATGGATCCTTGCAGTCACGATAACCATCGAATCTAGAACGAGTCGAAAGAGAGCGTTCAAGAAAATAGCTTGCGGAAGAAGAGAGGGAACTCACGCTGGAGATGAGAGCAGAGGTGAGCGTGATCGTGAAATCAACGATCACGTTCAAACGCGGTAGGATTGTGCTGACGACCGAGACGCCCGTGCCCTGGAACATTGAGCAGCAACAGCGGACAATAAGTAAGAAGGGAAAATAAGGAGTCTAATAAATAATAAGGTGTTACACGTTATCTATGTAGTTTATTGTTAAAAAATTCGGTCACAGTCCCTGTGATCACTGTTACGTTGCATTTATGGCTTTATTTTTTGGTGATTTCTAAAAGTTGTTTTGGTTCGGTCATGTTTTTGTTTATTGTAGTACGGAGTTAGACAGACGGCCTTAATCTAAGTTGTCTTGTGGTTGTAGGTTCTTTGCAAGCCATCCGGCTACCATGAGAGATTCGTTCACGAGGCTATCCACACGTACAAACACAGAGACAATTTCAACCGAGAAGATGGATTCTGGCTTATTGTAGTTCGGAGTTAGACTGATGGCCTTAATCTAAGTTGTCTTGTGGTTGTAGGTTCTTTGCAAGCCATCTGGCTACCATGAGAGATTCGTTCATGAGGCTATCCACATGTATAAACACAGAGACAATTTCAACCGAGAAGATGGATTCTGGCTTATTGTAGTTCGGAGTTAGACTGACGGCCTTAATCTAAGTTGTCTTGTGGTTGTTGTTGTTGTTTGACTTGCATCCCACTGGGAGTTTTTGCACACAGCGGTTGATGGTGTACGGTGCTTATTTCAGGAATATTTTGCTGTTTTTTTTTTTTCCCCATGGATTTTCTGTTTGCGCAAAGTCAACACAGAGTCACCTTAAGATGTTTTTCCTGCGCCGTGTTTTAGTTTGTGTGTTTGTTGCGGTTACACCCGATTCAAGAGCCGAATGGCTCACAGGGCTACACCGACATAAATGAAACTATGGAACTATGAAGTGGGTGCCACACTCAACTCTACAAACGGCTACCCTCCTTACTTTGCGTCCATACCCGTTGCTCGATTTGCCACTGCACCTGCTAATGTAAACAGCTCAGAGACACTTCTACGCTCCATCGTTGTATCCTTTTAAACCCTATCTTTGTCCCATTACTTCACCAGCACTCCTTCCAAACTTCATTATGCTCTTAAAGATAACACCATCCGCGAGCTGCTGCTGCTGCTGCTATTCGTCCAAGGTTCGCCGCTCTTCATCCAGTCACAGAAAATACTTGTGCAAACTGTTAATTCTACTTTTCTTATTTCGGGGGCGGTATTGAGCTTCATCCTGGCCCAAACGTTAAGAACTCGTGTAATTCTGTAGATTTTTCCGGCAGGGAAGGTGTTGGTGCTCTACACGTCAACAGCAGAGGGCTTGTGACTAAATTAAGTCAACTAAAACTAGAAGTGGCACATCTTGACCCGGACATTTTTTTTTGCCCAACAGAAACATTTCTCACTCCTGCCGTCAATGACTTGCACATTGCCATTGACAGCTACAACCTTTTTCGGCTTGACCGAGGATCTAAAGGAGGTGGAATTGCCATCTATGCACGTAAGACTATTGCATGCTCACCAGCTCACTCCTTGTTTAAAAAAAAATGTTGTTGCTTTGAAGGTCTGGCTCTCAGAATAACTCTCCCAAACAATCAACAGATATTGGTAGTGTGCTGCTATTGACCGCCTAGTGCAGGGGCCTCAAACTCCAACTTACCTGGGGGCCGCTGGAGGTAGAGTCTGGGTGAGGCTGGGCCGCATCAAAGTATTCCAAAAAAAAAAGTGCAACTGATCCAATCTTATATTCTTAGTTTTTTCGGTAAAGTCACGTTGAAGAGAAACAACAAAATAACAAAATATATATAAAACAATTTTGTTGTTTCTCTTCAACGTGACTTTACCGAAAAAACTAAGAATATGAATTACTGCAGTCACGAAAGCTTTAAATCAAAATTTGATCCAATCTTCTCAATCTTTATTAAGAACAGTTCAGGACATGAACGGTTCTTCAGAACGTAGGATTCTCTCACCCACTCCTTTGCTGCCAGAGACCTGGCAGCGCTTCCTCTTCTTACACAGCTGAGCCACATTTGCCTTGAGGGAGGAAGCAATTGAGACCCTCAGTATGGCTTTAAGATGCTCATCATCGGTAAGCTTGGACCTGTACTTTGACTTATTAAGGTTCATGGTGCAGAAAAGCTTTTCACACAGATATGTGCACCCAAAAAGACACGTGGTCCGCTTGAGCATCCTGGAAAGCTCAGGGAAGGTGGGGGTGATATGTTTCCATTCTTTTATCCCAATACCTGAGTATTTGGGATCTTATTTAGTATGCCCTTTCTATATATTCTGAGAGGTATTTGAAAACTTCATTATTGTTCATAGGTTTTTTTAGCACTTCGTTTTTCATTGTTACATTCATCAATCGTGTTCTCTCTCAGGTGTTTACACCTTTCACATTAATAAATAAAGTGATCTGGATTGTCTTCTTTTTGTTTATGTCCTACATATCCTTCTGCTCGACCGAATCTCTCAGGATGCCATTGAGCTAACTCCGGTGTCCGTGCTACTCCGCCTGCCTTGATTCTTGACAGCAAGTGCATTTTTTAAATATTCTTAGTTCTTTCGGTAAAGTCACGTTGAAGGTAAACAATAAAACAATAATAAAATAAATATAAAACAATAAAAATTCTCACGACGTTTCGACCATAACACAAACGGTCGTCATCAGGTGTGTCGGTTTTTTATAAATAAATAACCCGTTTAGAAATAAATAAATAAATTTGAGTGAACCGACACACCTGATGACGACCGTTTGTGTTATGGTCGAAACGTCGTGAGAATTTTTATTGTTTTATATATATTTTATTATTTTATCGTTTCCCTTCAACATGGTGACTTTACCGAAAGAACTAAGAATATGAATCACTGCAGTCACGAAAGCTTTAAAGCAAAGTGCATTGTCTTATGTTTGATATCTTTGAATTATCTTGCTCTCTTTGATGAAATTGTTTTTGGTAAATTCGTTTTCTTTTGCGATTGCACTTATCTGTCCTTTGTCTTTGTCTCTCTCGTAACAACAACAATAATAATAATCTGTAACTTCTTCATTATGATGTTCAGGTTCTAATCACCACTTGGCTTTTCCTCTTGCCACCCATCTCATGCTACTTACGATCCATGCCATTCTTTTCCCTTTCCCATTGCAACGCTCCGTTGTCTTTATTAGGTCACTGATTACTCTTGTTGAGTCCGCCCGCTTCCCCAAAGTCCTCTGTACCTTGCACTGGGTGACAGGATATATCCTTTTTTCCTTCCACTCGGTGTCACTCCGGGAATCACGTTTCAACCAAGTGACTGACGTTGCTAATTCGTGTTGGCCAACTGCTCAACTGACACTGGAAGCTGTCACGAGCCTGAGCTATGGTAAAAAAAATATATATAACAATTAAGAAAGAAATGTAAAATTGACGTCAAGTAGGGGGGCCACAAAATCTCGTTCCGCGGGCCGCGATTGGCCCGCGGGCCGCGAGTTTGAGGGCCCTGGCCTAGTGGGAAGGATGTTGAAGCTGCATCTGCACTGAGAGAGCTTTTTGGGGGGTATCCCTAAAGGTGAAATAGTTTTAGTGGGTGATCTCAATTTGGAATTGGCTAAACCTGCCGGCCGTGGCCACAAATTTTGGCAGGTGAATTTTAATCTGTTTCAATTAATAAATGTCCCCACGAGACCCAACTTAAAAAAAAAAATCCGGGACAGTCATCTCTGCTTGACGTCCTATTGACAAATGCCCCTCACAATTTCGCACTGGCTG